ACTACTTTTTTCTTCATGTAGCCACAGAGATTTAGAATCCTATAGATTTACAGCAATGTTGAAGGATGTTACAAGGAAAGTCCAGACAGAAGGGTGGCAGCCCTATTAACAGTCACTATAGTCTCTGATGGGACTGTCAAAACACGCTTCACACCACACATGCTCTCAGGGAAACTACCATTTGGTTTGCTGTGTGGGTCTGCCGTGACAAAACAAGGGATCGCCTGCTTTGGACAGTTAGTTCCCATCTTTTCCCTAATTTTCCCTTCTTTCTTCTTAAAAAAGTTTCTGAGGTTTTAAAAATATATTTTATTGACTATGTTATTACAGTTGTCCCACTTTTTCCCTGTGACCCCCTCTACCTGGTATCCCCTTTTCCTCCACTCATCTCCCTACCCACTTTGTTCATGTCCATGGGTCAAGCACATAATTCTTTGGCTTCTCTATTTCTATGCCATTCTTTCTTTCTTTTTCTTTTAAATTTTATTTCTTTATTTTTAGAGAGGGGAAGGGAGGGAGAAAGAGAGGAAGAGAAGTATCAATGTTCGGTCACCTCTCATGTGGCCCCCACTGGGGACATGGCCTGCAACCCAGGCATGTGCCCTGACTTGGAATCGAACTGGCAGCCCTTTGGTTCTCAGCCTGTGCTCAATCCACTGAGCTACACCAGCCAGGGCTCCTATGCTATTCTTCATACCCCCCTATCTATTTTGTACCTACCAATTATGCTCTTTAATCCCTGTTCCTTTTTTCCCTTTCTCACCCTTCCCCCTCCCAACTGATAACCCTCCAAATGATCTCGATACCCATGATTCTATTCCTGTTCCAGTTGTTTCCTTAGTTTGCTTGTTTTTTTATTCAGTTGTTGATAGTTGTGAATTTGTTGCCTTTTTAATGTTGACAGTTTTGATCATCTTCAAATGATCATCTTTTCCTTAAATAAGTCCCTTTAACATTTCATGTAATAATGACTTTGTGATGATGAACTCTAGCTTTACCTTGTCTAGAAAGCATTTTATCTGCCCTTCCATTCTAAATGATAGCTTTGCTGGATAGAATAATCTAGGCTGTAGGTCTTTGCTTTTCATCGCTTTAAATACTCCTTGCCAGTCCCTTCTTGCCTACAAACTTTCTTTTGAGAAATCAGCTGATAGTCTTATGGGAACTCCTTTGTAGGTAACTATCTGCTTTTTTCTTGCTGCTTTTAAGGTTCTCTTATCTTTAACCTTTGGCATTTTAATTATGATGTGTCTTGGTGTGATTCTATTTGTGTCCAACTTGTTTGGGATTCTCTGTTCATCCTGGACTCATATGTCTATTTCATTCACCTACTTAGGGAAGCTTTCTTTCATTATTTTTTTCAAGTAAGTTTTTAATTTCTTACTCTTGCTCTTCTTCTTTTGGCATCCCTATGATTCATATGTTTGGCACATTTTGAGGTGTCCCCAAGTCTTCTTACACTATCATCAGTTTTTTTTGTTTTTGTTTTTGTTTTTGAATTCTTGTTTCTTCTTTCTGTACTGGTTGAATGTCTATTTCTTCCTTATGTCCCAATTGTTGATTTGAATCCCAGCTTCCTTCCCATCACTCTTGATTACCTGTAGATTTTTCTTTACTTCTCCTAGTACAACCTTCATTTTTCCCTTTATGTTGTTGCTGCACTCAATAATATCTTTGAGCATCCTGATCACCAATGTTTTGAACTTTGCATCTGATAGGTTATTGATCTGTGATTTGTTTAGTTCTTTTTCTGAGCTTTTGTTCTGTTCTTTCATTTGGGCCATATTTCTTTGTCTCCTCTATTTGGCAGTCTCCCTGTGTTTGTTTCTGGGATTTAGGTAGAGCTTTCGACTGCCTGTAATAGACACCTGTGAACTTTGTGGGGTGGACTCTTTAGGTAGTCACCAGGGTGGGGCAGCCTGCATCACTGCTTTGTGGCTCTGTGTTGGGGGAGGACATGGAGAGAAGACTGTGCTGCTTGCCAGGCTTCTGGGTATTTTCCCAGCAATTGCCCCATTTCCAGTTCTTCACCCACTCCCCATACGCAACTGGCACCCTTCAAACTGTTGCCTTAATGCTGAATCCCCGGATGGGTGGTTTTGCATATTTTTTAAGGCTGTGTGGGTCCTTTAAGCAAAGTTTTCTGAAAATCTGGCAGTTTCTTCTGCTGCCCTAACCCCCACTGGTTTTTATAGCTGGAAGTCATAGGGATTTATCTTCTTGGCACTAGAATCCTGGACTGTGCAGTCTGGCTGGGGCTGGGATTCCTCGCTCCCAACGTATCCCTTCTGATTTTTATCTACCACACATGACTGTGAGACCATCCAGGTCCGTGCCACAACTGTCGCCTCTTGTGCCGCACCATGTCTCCTTGCCTCTCTACCCCATGTCCACATCTCTGCCCTTTCTACCCTTCTGGATGAATGTGGCTTCTTTAAATCTTTGGTGGTTGGAGTACCATACAGGTCGATTTTCTGACAGTTTTGGGTGTTATTTGTTGAGATTTAGTTGTAAATCCTTTCTGTGGTTACAAAGATGTGAAGTGTGTCTATCTATGCCTCTTTCTTGACCAGAAGTCAGTTTCTGAAGTTTTTAATGTGAAACTCATTTAGAGAGTGATTTAAATACCAGGAGCATCCAAAGAATGTTTAAAGTTTTTTATTTATCAAGTGACTTTGAGTAAAGAGCCAAGGTTCAGGCAGGACACACCCCAGGCTGTGGGCGGGATCTGCAGCCTGACCAGGGCCAGGGCTCATCAGCAAGCCAGCAGAGTGCTTCAGGAGGTGCAGTGGGGGTGAGATACAGGCCTGAGGCTTCTCCAGGGTGAGAAATGTGTGATGGAGAAACGAATAGCAATAGAAAGGGTGTGGGTGCTACTGGTTACAGCACAAGCAGACTTCTCTTTCTCTCTGGCTAAACATTTCTCTCTCTGAAGCTGACCCACTGACACTCTGTCACCTGATAATTATCATACTGTGCAAGGGGAGATTTTTAGAGATTTTTCCTCTAGGAAAGTTGTGGGGAGGGTTGAAGAAAAGGGGACATTTGGGTTACGGATGAACCTACAGAAGGGAGAGATGTGGAAAGCAGGGAAATACATAGTATTCTTTGTGCAGTGTTTGTTGATCAAATAAACACTTTGCCAGAGTCTTTTCCAGTTTCTCTTTGTTATGAGAGAAGGAAAAAAAGAAGAACCCCACCCCTAATGTTGTTCTAAAGCTTATCAATGACTACGTTTCTTTAGTTCAACCTGAGTTGGTGACCGCCAAATATCCTTGAGAAAACTCTTACCCATGTAAGATATAGCAATCCTGGCAATTTTAATGCCGTCACTAATCATTCGGGACACTCTGACATCCTTTCACTGTAATATTTGTGTGTTTAGTGAAACCTTTTGAAAAGTCATTTCACTAGCCAACAAAAGTTATTTCATAGTTGTGATGTAATTGTGAGGTAGTATTTCAGGGCTGTCAAGATCAAAGACTTAAAATATAGTTTATAAAAAAAAAAAGTTCAGGAATGACCTCTCGAAACAACCTTTTAAAGGAACCGACCAATAGCATTTCATCTTCTGTTTTCCTTTCATTTTTGGAATTAGAATGATACAAGAGATATATTCTCCAGAGGCTCATGAATCAAAATTAAAGAGTGAAAATAAATACTTCTAGTTGAAAAATTTCACTCTGATTTAAACAGTGAGAAAGATATATACTCAATGTATTGGCCATAAAAATAGGAGAACTGTATTTAAATCGTGAATTGGGCTTTATACCAAAATCTGAAAATGGATGTCTTGAAAACCACTTTATGGTTATCATGTTGGAAGAAAGAAATTTTTTAATAAGTGGGGTTATTCATCTAGTTTATCTTCTTGGGCCTTATAAGCCAAAACTAGATTATCTTTAAAAAAATGAAGATCCTTTCTGTACAACAGAAACCCAAATTGACATATTAATTTTTTTATACTCTTGCTTGTTGACCACTTATAAGCTCAGCTATTGACCTGGTCTGAATGGACTGATTTGTGGTGAATTCTGAAAGTGAATTACCTTCTCTGCTTGTCTAAGACAATGAAAAAAGGAGGCACAAAGTGACAATTCTCCCTTGTAGCACTTTCTGACTTCCCCAAGCTAAGAAAAGGAAAACCAAAAAGACAAACAATACTCATTCACTTATAAAGCATTTTTAGGTGGTGACGACTTTTAAAAAATTATGATCTGCTGACCCTTTAAAAGCAAAATAAGGAAAAAGTATTTGTGATAACTCCTTTCCTCCCTCTGCTAACTCAGAGTAGAGCTCCAACCCAACATCTTTTATTTGAACTTACTGACAGATCAGGCAGACAGCACTTTAATTTTTTTTTTTTTTTAAGAAAAAGACTGATCCCCAGGGATGGACTAATCAACTGAAGATCCTATTTAAGTTAAAAACAAACAAACAAACAAATGAACAAACAAACAAAAAATTCAATCATTTATTTTTCTCCAGAAGGATAGAACATTTGCTTTTCCCCTGCTTGAATCTCAGATTATGCTACAGACTAGAAGGGATGTTCTCCTAGAGTTGCCCCATATTTACTTTCTCAAAAAGACTATTGCTACTCTTCACAAAGCGCAGCTCTGTTAGTAACAGCAGTGGTGGCAATAGTAATCATCACAGATAACCGCCACCACCACAGCAGCTACCACCGACAGGTCTGCTTGTGGCCGTCTGGCACCAAATGGGGCAGCCTGCACTTGCCAGCTTGTCTCCATTGCGCTCCCTTCCCTCCTTCCTTTTCTTTTCTTTCTTTGTTTTAAGTTGACACACAGATTTATTCAAGTAGGCAATGTGTCATCTGAGAAAAAACATTCCCAACAGCTTCTAGTTCGGTTTACAGTTTCTTTATCTTCAAGTGGGGAAATCACTTGTTTCCTAATTGCGCCGAGCTGAGTTTTTCCACATTGTTAACTTGAATTTTATCTTCTAACATCTTCCTTTTCCCCGTCCAAGGGACTGTTAAAAATACAGAATGCTTCACAAATTTGCATGTCACCCTTGCGCACAGGCCATGTCAGTCTCTGTATCCTTGTAGTTTAAGTACACGTGCTGCCGACGTGAGCACTTCACAGCGCTCTTTGTAAGAAGGGTTTATTATCACCACTTTGCAAATGAAGAAAGTGAGCCCAGAGATGTTAAGTAGCTTAATGTCTCATAATAAAGAAGTAATACAGCAGCAGTTTGAATCGATGTCTGACTATACACTCTTCTTTTTCACACTCTAGCCAATTGTTGTGGCTATTTCTCTTTGCTGGGGGAGTCAGACAAATAGGGAGAGGGCATGTGGGAATCTTCCTGGAAGACTGAGGAATAAATGACTAGTGCTGTCCTGGACATTCCTTCACTAACCTTTGAAGACTAGCCTCATTCACCATTGTATTCCCATTGGCAGACACATAGGAGATCAATAAATGTGAAATAAATGGAGATAATACTTATTGAATTTGTCCTGAGTTAAATATTTTGTATATATATTTTACAGATTTTATTTATTTATTTAGTTTTAGAGAGAGGGGAAGGAAGGGAGAAAGAGAGGGAGAGAAACATCAATATGTGGTTGCCTCTCACATGCCCCCTACTGGGGACCTGGCCTGCAACCCAGGCATGTGTCCTGACCGGTCCTTGAACCAGCGACCCTTTGATTTGCAGGCTGGTACTCAATCCACTGAGCCACAGCCGCTAGGGCCTGAGTTAAATTTTAAAACCACTGCTACCCCAACAGTCAGGGGTCTGCAATTTCTACACAGGAAGAGTTTAAGGAATGGCAATCTGGTTGCGAGGAGGCCTACGTGGACTGTGTCAGAGCATAGCGAGGGATGGGTGGCTCTGGTAACAGCGTAATAAATGGTAATGATGGTAACTGGGACACACCGAAGTCCTCATGGGATTGCTCAGCATGGCTACTGAGTACCCATTCCAGTCCAGCAATGGGCCAGGGTCTCAGGGCCAGTGATGAACCTACCACCTAACCACAGACATCTCTGGGAAGCTGTGGCAGGCAGGAGGGGCTGACCCAGGGCCTTCCGCCTCGCAATCAGCTCCGTGCTGCCAGAGGTGCTGCAGCTGTGCTGCTCAGGGTGTTTTCCGCAACGCGATGACAGTGTGATGGAAGAGCCATTGCCTCACAGCCCTGCAGCCCTGCCAAGCCCCGGGAGCACTCATGCTCACATTTGCCTCTGTGGAGAACCCACCCAGCTTGGTGGGGCCCGCAAATGGAGGGGAGGGAGAGGATCCTTCCCTAATGTAACATCTTAGTACATTAATCAAAAGCAAAATAAAAGCAAATTTTCCCCCAACATAAACCCATGTTGATGACATAGCTCTCTTTAGAATGGGGTTGTGGCAGGGTCCAGCTGGACTTGCCGGCTCCGTGTCCACGGATGTAACTAAGAAGAGTGCAGAGGATGTAGGAGATAAAGTTTCTCTGTCAGGGAAGAGATTCGAAACTGGCTTCAAAAGAAAGAGAGGAGCGTTATTGTTGAGGTTGGGGCCTCAGAGGAAGATGTCTTTCCAGCCGAAACGCTTAACAAACCAAACCCACAGAATTGGATATTCTAGACTCTTTGGTCGAAAGCACCTGGGGGCCCAGGTCTTTCTGATCTCTCTTCTCCAGGCTGCAGCACTTTTAATATGTCTCTGCCGGGTTAGGCCTGGATGAATGGAGGCTCGTGCCGTTTTCCGGAGGTTTCTTCTCTGCAATCCGACCTCCCTTGCCTTTGCCCCTAAGCATTTCAAATCCAGAGGCCATTTTTCCTTCTGCTCAGCCTCTGGCTGAGTTATGAAGGTTGAAAGGGAGTTGTAAAAGGGAATGTACTTATTTCTGGGAGCTAAAAAAAAGTTTGTTTTTCCTCTCACCTTCTAAGTTCTTCTAGCTGGGCTTATAATCAAATTAACAGAGAAAGATTTAGTTGTTTATTTTTAAGCTGGAATTTATTGGGGTGACATCAGTTTACAAAACCATACAGGTGTTCAGTAACTGGAGAAAAAGTACAGAGTTAATTATACGAATGTACATTCGGGGTGCCATGTAATAAGGAGACCCGAAACACATGGGAGAGTTGAGGTTTTTATGCCAATCTGGACAAAGGAGAAAAGGAGGGTGTGGCAAGGGTCTGAGATTTCAAAGGACTCAGGCAGTTTACAGGCAGCTTAGGAAGAGCCAAACACAGGTGGCAGACAGGCTCTTGCCAGGCGACCCAGGAACAACGGGACACGGGGGACCTGGGTTTCTCTTGGAATCTCTTAGACAGGAAAGGGGGGGGGGTCAAATGTTTTCTTCTGAGTCTTCTGTTTCTTAATCAATAAGCTTAAAAATCGATATCCCCAAAGGGAGTTTTAGGGTGGTGAAACTTCGGTCCCCTTCATACTTGAGAAATACTAGTTCCCTTGAAGCCTCAGAGCCGAGCACTGCGACAGCCTGGAGCAGAACCTCAGCAGAGACCGGTGGGGTGAACGAAGTGATGGACCGGACGGGCTCTCTTACTGGCCACTCTGAACACTGAAATCCCCTTTCACTGCATCGGCCTTGTTTCTGGAGGCAAGAAAAGCTGCGGAGAGTGTGGTGCAAAATGTCCAAGAAGGCAGCCTGTCAACTGTGGTCTTTCCTTGAGAAAAAGAGGACACAGAACAGGAAAAGTTTCTACCTTTTCCTCTGCTCCTGGGCAGCCTGGTTATCATGTTTCTGGTTATCACGGGGGAGAGAGAGAGAGAGAGAGAGAGAGAGAGAGAGAGATTTCCCAGAGCAGCCCAGAGAGAGAGTTCAGTCAAACCCGGGCCTCCAGGTACTTTTCACCAAAGTCTATGGAACTTTTGACCCTTCAGCTGCTACAACAACAAAAAGGTTTTTGTGCCTTCTCATTTATGAAGTATATCAAAGTGAGACAAATACAATGAATTCAAGCACATACATTTAACAATCACACTTGCTTGCTCTTAGAAATCTCTAGGAATTTATGCCCAAGTTACTATTTTATCTGTAACTATAACTTTGTTTTCACTGGAAGGGGAAGTTTCTCCAGCAAAGGGTAATTTAATTTTGTCAGTAACCAGACACATTCTGTTTAGATTTGAAATCCTTTTAAAATAGGGGCTTTCTATCACCAGCCCCAAGCATGTTTGGATTACGGGCCCTTCCAGAAAGGGGTCCTCTGACTATTGATGACGTGGTGACCGAAGCAGACAACTTGCCTTCTCAGTGGCAGCTTCCTAGAGAGAAATATTATCAATATCCACACGTTAAGAAGCTGGAAACGGCCTGGCCGCAGCTCCCCTGGCCACGTGGCCTCTCCTGGCCAGCAGCTGGCCCACGGCTGCCCTCTCAGTGAGCACCCAGGACGCGCCGAAGGGAGAGAAGAATTCCGGCAATGGCGAAAACAACTTTCCACTCCATCACAAGAAGCCAAACACAGAAACCATATTCAAAGAGTTCTTTGTCCACAAGATAACGTTTGAATCGGAAACTTGTTTAGCCAGATTCTCTTGTTACAATTTACTGCTTCATCAGGTGGGGGCAGGGACAGGCACAATCTATTCTTTAAATAATGGGACAATTCCCACAGGAAGGTCGGCAACTTCCAAGGTGTATTTAAAAAACCCTCCTCTGCTCGTAGTTCACCCTCCAGCATTGACAATGTGCCTCTGACTGCTGGAGGGATTTGTGCACAAATAACCACAAGTAAGAGTGTGTGGCGTTCAAGTCAGAGGAAAAGGTAGCCAAGAGCAGTCATATTCAGGAGACCTTCCCTCCCAGGGATTAAAGGTGGGAGCAGAGATGGAAGAGATGGAGAGAAGGGAAAGGATGGACAGACATCTCCCTGCCGTACATTCCTGGGAGAACAATCGCCTTTGTTCAAAGCAGGCTGAGAGAGCAGCTTGCGAAGCTCCGGATCTGGGCTCAGGGCAGGTTAGGGCCTGTATGTACTTGTGAGGTCTCCTGGTGACCAAGAGCCCAGGTGGGTGGGCCTGGAATGCTGATAGTAGGGCAAGGCGAGGGGGGGTGGGCAGGGTTGACCCATTACCCGTCTACTTCCACCCAGAGTTCTGACTTCTTCAGCTTCTGAAGCCCCCTCCAGTGTTCCTGATGGGAGATAGAGGAAAGCACTGATTTCATGCCTCTCTGGGGAGACAGCCAGGTTGGCTGCTGGGGGCAGACTGGGTTTCTGATGGCCCAGTGTGAGGCTCAGATTCTGGCTGGGCCACAACCACCTGGGGAGTTCAAACAAAACAAACCAGTTTCCTGGGCTCCTGAAGATCTTATGAATCTCCATGGGGATTAGGCTTGGGAATTTGTGTTTTCCAAAACTTCCCAGATATTTCTCAAGCTACTGGTTAAGCACCTTCCAGGGTGACTCCAGTGTTTGTTTTGTTTTCAACCTACTAATGTGTGTGAACCAGTTGGGAATCCCAAATCCAAAAACTGGCCAAACTTCTAAGGGGCCTGAGTAGACCCCAGGGCAGACTCTACCAGCTGACAGCTTTCCCAAGATGGGTTTAGGGAGACCCATTCACCAGGGACCCTTCAGACTTCTGGTCTCCCAGAACAGGGGCTCACGGTGTCATGGGGTTAATGTTTTCAAGATCTGATGTCCTGGAAGAGTCAGGCCTGGCTGACCGCAGCTGGAGGCCAGACACTGGCGGTCAGGGGAGTATGGAACTGGGAAACCACTAACATGTGCCTCAGTCTAGGATGTTCGGCCCCTCGAGCCTCCATTTCACGCCTCATACAACTTCCTGGCCGAGCTCTTATCTAAGCGCCATCTCATGGGCCTAAACTGGACCTTTTGGTTTATATGTGTTCTTGCAAAATGTATATTGTCTTGTTCACTGATTCATTCATCAAGTATTCAGTAACTGCTATGTACCAGACATTTGGAGAAACATTAGCAAAGAAACCATCAGGGATCACCGCCCTCGTGGAATGTATATGCTAACAGGGGAGGGAAGACAATAATTTATAAGCATAAAAAATAGAGAATTATCGGGATGGTAGAAGGTGGTAAGTGCTAAGGAAAAAATAATCCAGAGAAAGGGAATCGGAAGTGCTGACTGGAAGGGGCTGGGCAAGTT